TCTGTGCCAGGCTGGGGGCTCTGCAGCCCCGCTGGTGGAGACGTGGTGGAGGCATTTGCGTGGGCCAGTGGTGGGGGAGGAAAGGTGTTTGCGCGGGCGCAGCCCCTCGCTGGGGCAGCTGAGGTGAGGAGCTCCCCACTGCGAGGAGGGGCGGGATGAGGAGAGCCACTTGCAGAAGTTGCAGCCAAACCTCCTCTGTGTGTTAGTCTGTGACTGAATCTGCGCAGGGACTGGCTGCAGAGCTTGACGTCAGGGCCATTTGAAAGGGAAAGAAAAAAAAGTCACGCTGAATTTTGATGACTCTGTTTTTCAGAGGAAGTTGAAAAAAAGAAAGCAAAAAAAACCCCAACCCCCAAAATACCGAGAGGCAGAAGAAACGGTGGAAATGGAAGGGCAGGAGGATGCACGTGGCTGGCATCAGTGGTGCTGCTGCAGCTCGCCATGGCCAGCAGCCAGGCCCTCTGCGTGACGCAGGGAGCACATCTTTAGTGTGAGCAGCGCGACGTCAGACGCAACAGAAGGAAATGTGGCAATGCATCAACAACCCTTCTCCTGGCTGCAGTGATTCATGTTTTCATCTGAAAAAAACGAGCTGGGTTTCCACCAACAGTTTTAATGGGACTATCCCACTGTGAAGGTTCTTGGAAACTGAAGTGACTTTTGGAAAAACTCTCCAGTGACCTGGCAGTAGTCAAAAGTAGCCCACGGTAAGTGGTTCCCGTCTTGTACTTGTTTCCACTCTGACAGAAACTCTTCCCCCATGCCCCAGTTTCAGCTTGCTCCACTCTGGAGGTGCTCCTGTCCTTCCCTGGCGCGCGGTCCCCGAGCTGCTGCCCTGCGGGATGCGCTGCACGCCCAGTGCGCATCGCTGAAGTCACCGCAAGCTGCCCAGGCCCTTTTCCTGCTCCTGCTCCAGTGCGTGCTCCCACAGCACAACACCAGCCTGGGATAACTGCCCTGCTCCTCAGATGAGAGTGAAGCTCTTAGTGGGCTGGCCTTGTTCTCCTTTTTTTCCCCAGTAGTGATGTAGAAACACTCTTCCCCATGTGAGGCAACAGCGTGTTGCTCTTTGCTGCAGGGGAAAGTCCATATCTGAAAACGGAAAGCACAGCTTGACCTTAGAAGAGGATATACAGATGGACGGACCAAATAAATACCACCACATCCTTCTGTATTTACATATTAAATAGAATAAATAATGTCTGTATGCAATAGTGGCAGAACATGGACCACCGTGTGAGCAGGTTGCCTTGGCTCATGCTGGGCTCGTAGGGCAGCTGCTGCGTGCACCCTGCACCCGTCGGAGGTAGCCGGTGCCCGGGGTCTCTGCCCCAGGGGCTGAAGGGGCTCTGTGGGGTCAGGGAAGTCCTGCGCTCCCTCCAAGTGAGGCTGGCCAGGGTGGGAGCTCCACACTCTCAGCAGCAGAAGGGCTGACGTCGGGCTGCTCTTAGCTTTCAGTGTCTGTTGTGAAAGGTGTAGAGGGTGTCAGCAGCTCAGATGTCAGCTGGAGAAGCCTGGCTCTCGCATACAAAAGGGGAAAACTGAGGAGGGAAGCGCAAGGCTGGAACCAGCCCTGAGGTTGCCCCTGAGCCCAGGGGCTGCGTGGCCCACGCTGGGCTGGGCAGAGAAGGCAGGATCGCCCTTTGGAAATGTCCTGGTGTGCATCCTTGGGCTTGGTGGTCAGAGGAGTGGGGGCTGAGCCCCCTCCAGCACAGCCCGTCCCTGTATCTCATTAGCTTTACGGCAGAGACTGGCTGGAAGGAAGGTGCGGGGCACGCTGGGGGCTGGCCACAGCGGTACTGGGGCCAAAGCAGCCCCAGAAGTAGCTAAGCCAGTGCTTCTCGGGTGAGTCTCGGCTGGGGGGCAGCGC